GTGTTTCATTAATTATAGCTGAATTTTTCGAAAAATATTTTTAATATATGTTTTCCACGAGAGAAATTTATCGCGCCGTGAAATGGTAATCTCAACCGACCGCTCGAACGAAATAATTAGCGTTACAATAGAATTATAATTACATTAAATTATTGCTGATTTTACAGAGTTTAATTAGAGTCAGAGAGAGGTTTCGGTGCCACTTTGAATGCCAAATATTTTTTTTTTATAATATTTTTCTAAACTTTCCCCGCTACTTCGTAATGGTGAATATGAAAAGCAGAAAAATCAATAAAACAAACCACTTTTAGGTGGCATTTTAATATTAAATAATCATTTTAATATCAAATTTTAAGTTAGACCTTCAAAAATACAACTGTGTACACTGCATTCAATTTGGTACACTAGTTTTTGCATGATGCTGAAACAAACAGACAGACAGATAAAATTTCTAAAAAATATTGTTTCGACATCTGTTGGTCTCATATCTATATACATATATAATGGGAAATTAATAAACTCACTGTGTTTTGTCATTTCCAACGATTGTTTCAAGGTCATCTGTAAGTCTTCTTCAGGGGGCGTACGGCGATTTACGTCACAACGTCTCGTCTCGCACTATTGGTCTATTGAAACCCCTCATATTTTTTTTTTCTAAATATCTCCCATGTGCAGATATTATCTAGTTAAATTTTATTATATTTAAGTACGTATGTAATGTACATTATAGCTGTACCTCAATTATATAATCGAATCCCTTAGATTATATAAATAGAGTGATTCCATACAAATTCTTCGAGAAAAACGGGTCAACTTTTTCATACAATTTTGCATGTTAAGTTGTGAGTGATGACTTATGACTCCTATATTTATTTTGTCTTATAAATTCTGCACATTATTAATGCGCAAAAACTTATTTTATTTATTAAAGAAATTTATATAAATACATCAAGGTACATTGTAAGTATATTTAACATTAATAATAAAAAAACAAGTCGGCTAATTTGACAATTAAGTGACATAAAGTTGACTGTTTTTTGAGGCTCGATGCTCTATCTATATAATCTAAGTCGAATCCATATGCACAGCAACGCGACCACCACTGAACTATAGAGATAGTACTCATAAAAAATTAGTAAATGGATAAAACTAATTTTTTAAATTAACCAAACCAACACCGCTCGCCCGCCCGCACGGTGCATAGAGTAATAACAATAAAAATACATTGTTAATAACGAAATGTGCAACAAACCGTTATAACTGCTTTAACTTTTAACATTATTTTCGCTAATGTTTGGTTATTAACGTAAAGTTACGATTGCGACTGGAAATCAAATAGTTTGCACAGTTAATAACGTAGTTTTCAAACCAAATTAAATAGTTAAAATGTTGAAAAATAACGTTTACGCTTATTAAATTAAGGTAACATATTTTTTTATGGGGTGATAATGGAATGGTAACCCTACCCGCGCTATCGGTATACACCGGCGGTGTACCAGTGAAAGATGATAGGTGAGAATGAAGCAGGTCAGTTAGCCCATCGTGACGAATTCATCAAGAATTGTTCACGATGGTTTCCAGGGGGAACCACGTGGAAGTCGACCTGATGAGGTATATTGATAGCGATGAGGACTAAACTCCCCATTACTAACAATCCATTCCCCAAGATTACATATTATTGTGCGTATTTTTAGTTAGAATAAAATTAAATTTGTTTCCAGAGACTATATCAAAGTAACACAGTTTACAGTACAAGCGTTGAATAGCTTGGCTATTAATTAGTTTGTATTTTGATTAAAGACAAGTTTACAGGTAGTTATTCAACAATTCAATTACGGCTCCTGTTAAGTTCTGCTCTCCTAGTATTCTCGTGACTGAATTTAATTGCTTTATATATAAAGAAAAAACTACTTCCGTATTTATTTTTCAACTAATTGAGCTACTTTGTTCGAGACAAAACTATGTGTGTTACGAAATTTCATGGCATTTAGCTAAGCCGTTAAGGTGCTAAAAGAGCGACATAGTACATTAAAAATTTATTATGCACTTAGCTAAATAAACTACAATAATAATATACTACCTTATTATATGCTTGAAGAGTTAAAACTTATATTTATAATCCAATAAATAAAATATACACTAAATACGATGACAAATCTTGACTTAAAAAAAATTCATCAGTTGCGATGTTACATAATAAAGACTTTGTTAATTTGAGAATTGTCCTTCGTTTAAAGTTAGTTGAATAGTTGCTAAATGGGAATACAGTTTTATTGTTAAAAATTTCGTAAGTACACATTATATTTTAATGCGATAACTACAAATTTAATTTAATCGTAATTTGGTCAGGTACACTCGACTAGTTTGAGGACCATTCGGTACCCTTAATATGCAGTTGATGGTAACTCCTCTGTAGTGGTGGAAACACATGGATTGAGCAAAGTTACCGCTGTCTCTCAGATTAATTAGGTTTGTTATCTTTGTTTGCAATCACCACAAAGTTAGTTGGTAATTTAAATTGACACGAAGTTTTGTTATCATCAAGAAAGTTTAAGTCCGGGTTGTAAACCACTCATAGTACATATAATAGGATGAGTGCTTAGAAAATTAATTTAACTAGGTATATATTATCACAATTTTTCATAAAAACATTTCTCTGTAGTCAAGTATATTTTTCATTAAAATTTTCGTGAATTTCGAATTCCATTAATAATCTCGTATAAACTCTGTGTTCACTCAAGATGGTGTGGTCACATCATCATATCATCATACTAGACTTTAACTGTCCACTGCTGAACATAAGCCTCCCTCTTGGGGGTTTTGCCATAGTTGCCACGCTTAGCAGGTGGATTGGCAAACGCAGTTCGGCTTTAGAGAAGGACGCTGCTACCCATCCTTCGTCTTCCCTTAGTCGCCTTTTACGATACCCACGGAAAAGGAAGGAGTGGACTATTCCATGCTGGGACCCCACAGCAAAACTTGTTAAAAAGCTTTCAGATAGAAAAAATAAATTATTTTCATTCCCCGCTCTATTTCTCCATACTCCCAAAATAACAGAGACCTCACAGCTCACACTACGTTATCTACCTCTAATCCTGGGATTAGAGCGACCACAAATGCTGACTATTGTCTAAACCACGCTCCAAAATCTAGACACGAGTAGACTATTCAGTATTATGCCAGTCAGTATTTGCACTATTATTCACTAGGGACAACTTGACTTAAACGCTTTGTTTTAACATGTTTAATTAAATAATGCTATTTAGAATCTCGTAACGTTGGTATAAGTGTATGTTTAAAAAAAATATGAGCAATCAAATTTTAACTAGTAAAGAGTAAGTTTAAATTAATTTAAAACAAGAGAAAGAGTCTATTTAATCAAAGTATTTAATATACTTATAGAATTTTTATTTTTGTATAAATAAAAATTTGTATTATTGCATATTATATAATGATGATGATGATATCAGTCATTAACTATTCACTGACGAACATAAGCCTCCCTCATGGGAAGTTTTGACAGTAGTTGTCATGCTTGGCAAACAGATTTTTTTTTTTGATGGGTGAGAATGGAATGGTAACCCCGCCTACGCTAATGGTATACGCTGGCGGGGCACAAGTGAAGGGTGATTAATGAAAATGAAAACAGGCCAGTTAGCCCATCATGATGAATTCATCAGAAATTAACCATGATAATTTCCAGGAGGAACCGCGAGAAGATCGACCTGGTTGGGTATATTGCTAGCAATGGGATTCTCAGTCTCTATTACTAACAATCCCTTTCCCCCTGGCAAGAGGGATTACTAGTAATGAAGACTTTAATCCTCATTTCTAGCAATATAACCTGTCAAATCGACCTCCACGTGCTTCTCCCTGAAAACCATCGTGATTAATTCTGGTTAAATCTGTCACAATGAGCTAACTGACCTAGGTTAATCTTCATCTATGACCACTAACTGGTGCCCCGCCAGCGTATACCGACAGTAGTGTAGGCGGGGTTACCAATTCATTCTTACCTATATAAAAACCGCAATTAGGCTTTGGTGTTGTTTTAAGAGGACGCTGCTATTCATCCCTCGACTATTAAATTCCCTTAGTCAGCTCTTACGAGACCCACGTGAAATTATTGATCTATTCTATACCGAAACCACACGGCACTATATATTATTTTTGCACTCTATGGTTTCTGATTATCTTAATAGAAGACAGGGAAGGAGAATAACATTATTAATTATGAAGATTAACTGCACAATTGAATAAAGTAATTATATTCAGTCAAATAATAATCCAAGTGGTTCTCCCCGGATATACCATAGTTAATTCAAATAACCTAACTGTATCTCCATTTATCATCCCTCACTATATATATAAAACAATAGCAGGTACATTTCTTTCATTTTTATGTACTTGTATTAAAAAAATAGGAGACCATATGGTGTTATATATTAGACGAACAAGTCAACATAATATATAATAAAAATCTAATAAAATTTAAAATTTTCAATATTAAAATTTAAACGTACATAATAAACATTTTTAATCAACATTCTGACAAAGTTTTATTTAGTCGCAGAAAAATACTTTACAAAGAAAATATTTGCAGCTCGATAATTTAATAAGCAAATTAAAATCTTATACCACTTAGTGGTTATATTATTACTTTACTTTGATTTTTGTTTATATGAAACCGGTATACATGATACGAAATATGTAAAAGGATAAAGCAAGAGATGTAGGAATTGATGATAAAGCAATTTTTAATTTCCCTAAAATATGAAACTACTTTGATGAAAAATGCGGTGAAAGAACGATGATAATAGTACTAGGTTATATAACTCCAATCTCAAAACACTCCCCATTATGTATATGACTTTACCAATACATTCTTGCAAAGTAATAAAAAAATTCGCCTTGCGTAATTAAAAACTATTTAAATTTCTCGCCTTAATAAGTTAAATTAAAATGTGACATATTTGTCATTGAAAAGTCAAAACGTATTTGTCAAAAACTGCATCATTCATACAATGCCTATTTGTTTTAATAATTTTCATTACAAAACACAAATGTCTCACAATTTTTAATGGACAATAAAGACAAAGATGAAAACGACAAAGAAGAATCTACGAGTTTTGAAGATAGTATAAATAAAGGAAAAAATCAGGAACAGACACAATTAAAACATGATGCAGGACCATCAAGATCTATATTTCTACCTGGGGCAGTTCCAGATAATCCCAGAACTACTTTTCAACCTAAACCAGGTCTATCTAAATCTGAGCATAGCATACGACAAATTATAACAAGCAAAGATGTAGCCGATGCATTAAAATCGTTAAATTTTGGTACACCAAATCAAATTAATAAAGGGATGAATTTAAATGAACTGAAAATAACAATGTTGGATAAAGAACAAAACTCAAATAAAGATGATTCAACTACTTATATAGATTTAAAAAAATTCATGGTCTCTTGTTTTAAATTGAACAAAGATATGCCCAATACTGTATTGATAGGCGAAGTTCCTATTAATAATCTGCAACCAATTGCTACGATCGACAATGAAGTTATTCAAGAAGTGCCAAATACTAGTTGCAATGACGTTCAAACACAAAATGTGCCTATAGCCAACTTACCGAATGAAGTGATCGTGACAAACACAGCACCAGTTGAGTTGAAACAGTCTAAAGTTGGTTCGGATAAGAAGAAAACATCCGGTAGTTTGTCGGAGCGATCCGATTTTGGCTTAGCCCAAAGAGATTCGCTTTCAAGTATTGGTTCAAATGTTTGCAGAATTTGTATGACACGCGGACGGGAGAGGTTAGAAAGTTTGGACATTGTTTTGAATGTTTATTCTTTGTTACAAAACGGGAGTTGCTGGAGTTGTCTCGTATCTACCTGTTTCCATGTGAAGTCAAGCGTGCTATCTTTTTACATGTAGAATATTTTCGGTTACTTAAATCTTGAATATTTTCAGTGTTCGAAGATAAAAGGAACCTTTGAAAAATACATTCCTTATGAAAGTTTCTTTCGTCTATATATAGCCAAACTTACATGGGTCATTCGACAAAAGTTTACTGTGTAAATCTTTGTCATTTATTTATACAAGAATGGAAACTACCAAAGAGTTCAAAATTCATTTATTCTAGATACAAATCCAATTAACAAAGATTAATCTTTTATTAATTACCTGATTGCTGAGAACATCAGGATATTTTTAGAGTATCAAGTGGATTAGATTAAGTAATTTTTATTATTCTCAATTTCGTGTATAATATAGTACATTTTATATTAGTGGAAGTATATTTGTTATTTATATATATATATATATATATAAATATATATATATATATATGTGTGTAATTTTAGTATGTATGTATATCAATAATTACTAGTACCGTATTCAAGTATTCTGACACTTCTCTATGGAATGCTTTTAACTTGTACTTTATTTTGACTATTTATTTATGAATTCGCCAAAGCCAACTGAGCTAAATTCATTTTCATCCGTCTTTATTCACCCATACCAGTAGTACAGATGTCTTCATTATGGGGTAAATATAACATTTCTAATTTTTTTTTAATTATATTATATATATATTAAAAAAAAAAAAAGGAAAAAGGTTTTTTTTATCTATTACAAAAGACATATTACTTTTTACCTTCAAATATTTCGTACGCTTCCTCCACCATATTCTAAATATAGTCCTGTTCAAGTAAACACTAATCAAATGCCTCTAACCTTCCTTTTGACGTCTACGTCGGATGTAGTATGTTAGGAATTCCTTTGCTTTTCCATACGGAAAAAAGAATAACTTTTATTTTTCAAGTGAATACCTTACAAGTGTTTACTATTTCTATATTATATGAAAGTTTGTTGTTTATATTATATTCTAATACTTGTTACTCGATCACTCTTCAAAAGTGGCTTGACAGATTTTGATGAAATTTGAAAGATTTTGATGAAATTTGAAAGATTATATTTTATTCTTGATTTATACATTATTTAGAGTTTTATACACAATTAAGTTTGTTATTTTATAGCACCTTGATAGCTTAACATATCACTATTTTAATTTAATACACATGTACTATATGGGACGGATACAAGCTACTTTTTATTCCAATCAATGCCCTAGTCTCGCGGGTGAAGTCGCAGGCAAAAGCTAGTCTTACGACAAACTTATGTGAAACAGGCCTTTTAACTCCCTTGTATAATAATACAGACCACAGATACATCATTGACACAGTAATATATTCTTGTCTTAGATTATATATATAGAGCGTCGAGCTTCAAAAAGGGTCAACTTATTGTCAGCTAATTGTCGAATTAGCTGACTTGTTTTTATTAGTATTCTATATACTTACGCACACAACGTACCTACCTAGATCCCACACAGGAGCTTGTTGATAAACTTGAGCGACTGCAAAATCAATGTATTAGATACATCTATAACCTTCGAAAGTATGACCACATATCTAGTTATCGCAGTCAACTCAAATGGCTTCCTATCAGGCTACGGAGAAATGTCCACATTCTTGCTCTTCTTTTCAATATCCTTTTTAATCCAACATGTCCACATTACCTTCAGGAAAGATTCAAATTTCGCGAAATTGATGTTCGCCTGAGATGCAGTAATGACTTCATTATAGATTTGCCTTGTTTTAATACTCAAAGCTATGCCATGTCATTTACTGTACATGCTGCACGTCTCTGGAATTCACTTCCTAATAACTTAAAGATGGCACAGTCGCTGAAATCTTTTAAAGCAGGTATCATAAAATTTTATTTTGAAAATCCCTCTTCATTGAGCCAATTGTGAATATATGTATTTATTATGTATACATGTATGTGTATGTAGGAGTGTATATATGTATGTGTATGTAGTATATATATGTATATATATATATATATGTATATGTATATATATGTGTATGTGTATAAGTTTTTATTTATTAATGTGATATTATTATTCATTTACTTTTATTATTTACATATGTAGGTATATAGAGCTGTTTTTATTGTGTTATATATTCAATTTTTTTTTTTTTTTTTTTACTGGGTATTATTTAGTTTATCTTTAATTGTACGGTTATTACCCTTATACATTCTACAGTTTTCTTTCAGCTTCTCAAAGGTTGACTGTAAGAGATCCCTTTATGGGATAAGTCCGCCATTGTATACTAAATCATTTACTAGTATTTAATCTGACTTATGTACAATAAAGATTTTTACAATACAATACAATACGTAACTTGACGTATCTATAATTAACTCGTTAATAAATAAAATGAGTTTTTGCACATTAAAAAGGTGCATAAATATAGAAATTATAAAAGAATCATTTGTCACGCAAAATTGTATGAAAAAGTTGACTCGCTTTCCTCGAAGCATTTGTATGGAGACACTCTCTCTATATAATTTAGGATTCTTGTATATTATTAAATAAAAATGTATATACATATGGCAAAGAAATTTAATGATATTTAATTATTTATAGAATAACCAACATAAGTTACAGCGAAGCATTTCAGAAAAAAACACACCAAGGGGTTAGATCTACCTGTTGTATATTCTAAAAAAAAAAAAATACTTTTTTTAAAAGTACAGAATATCATCATAAAGTTTATATATACACAATTATTAATCTAATTGACGCATCCATGTAATAGATCAAGACGCCAAGCATTTCTATCTCATTCTATCTCAAGCATGCAGTACCAATAACGTATCTATCGATTACCTTTGCAACTTATCTACTGTGGTTAAATTCGATTCGTAATCGAATGAATTTATTGTATATGAACTAGATAGAGAAAAATCCTATCCCATATCTATATTCAGAATCCTTCATCTAATCAGCTTATCCTGTTTTCCTTATGTCGTTAATTAGCGGTCCACAGTTTACTAGAATTTTCGATAAATCAGCTTAATAACTTAGTCACGTGACCCGTGAAAGTATCAAACTTCGCTATTAGGATCACCCATCAAACCAAAGAACCTTTAGTCTACTTAATATTCAATTAACACAATCCTACTATATGGTTTTAGTAGTTTTAACCCCATACTTGTATGTTAAGTTTAGAGACATTAGTGGTGTAATGCTATAAGTATTGGTTGTAAGTTCGATCCCTGTATATTACAAATATTTTACAGGGGGGAAAGGGATTGTTAGTAATGGGGTCTAATAGCCCCATTGCTAGCAATATACCCTCTCAGGTAGACCTCCACGCGATTTCCCCCGGAAACCATCATGTTTAATTCTTGTCGAATTCATCATGGTGGGCCAACTGACCTGCATTCATTCTCACCCATCATTTTCCATTGGTGCCTCGTCGGTGTATAACGATAGCGTGGGCGGGTCAAGGTCAAGGTTTAGGTCGATCTCAAAATTTCCAAACGGAACCACCTTTGGAAATCATAGTGATTAATTCTTGTGATATTTATCACAATGGCCTAACTGACCTGCTTTTATTTTCACCTATATTCCTTCACTGATGTTTCGCCAGCGTATACCAATAGTACATGCTGAGTTGCCATTCCATAATCAACCATAAAAAAATATACTCGTATTATACAAGTTCCAAATGTTTATATTCTGTAAAATAAAGATAGTCTTTCTATAAGAAAAAAAAAACTATTGTTGCAGATTAATCTCCCCATGCAACTGTAAAGGATCGTTGGCAAATGTCCACCTGAGCTGCTTGGAGCGATGGCTGAACCAAGTGGGAAGGAATCACTGCGAATTGTGTGGATTCAGGTAGTGTACTTCTAGAAGAACCAGGAATATGTTTAAACATTAGAAAGTCTCATCATCATCGTCATATCAGCTATTAACTGTTTACTGCTGTATATAAGCCTCCCCATTCGGGGGTTTTGCAAGTAGTTGCCACGCTTGGCAGGCGGATTGGCAACCGCAGTTAGGTTTTGGAGATGTTTTAAGAGGGACGCTACTGCCTATCCTTCGCTCTCGGTCACCTCTTACGACACCCACGAGAAAGGGGTAATCTATTATATGCCAGGACCGACATGGCGAATTAAAAAGTCTACCGGTGTAAAATTTCGAAAAGAAAAATGACTCACTGCACTGCTTCTATTTATTGGTAAAATATCGACTTTTCTTCCTCGACGCGCATGCAATGCCTCTTGAATGTATAAAACGTCTTGTCTCAAACTATCAATTTACTCCGTACTGTTTTTTCCCTTGCGGCCATGTACTCGATATAATGTGATTTGCGACGGTGGCGCTACAGACACATGCGGCGGTGTGCATAAACTCTCAACCGAGTTAAAATGCAAACAAGCGGGAGATTTTAAATCAATTCGTTTAAAATAGACATAAAAATTCAACAACATGATGTAACAAATTCATAAGATTCAAAATGAAGGGTTGCATTGCGTTCATAAAGCCCCCCTTTAATAGTTTACTTATATATCTTCCATGTACAGACAACGACCAGTTATGATTTTATTATATGTAATGATATACAATATATAATCCTATATATATATATATATATGTTAAATATGTACCTAACACTAAAACAAATATATCTATATAATTACAGGCACAAGAAAAACAAACTAACATTTTTGTTTTTAATGGATGATAATAAAACTAACCCGCCTGTGCTATCGTTATACCAGTGAGGGATGATAGATTTTTTTTTATGCACCTTAGAATGGCAAACAATCTGACGGCCCATCTGATGGAAAGTGGTAACCGTCGCCTATAGACATGGGCAGTACCATGGACATTACAGAGTATACTGTTTCGCCCATGATACCCCCATGCCTGAGGACTCAGGTGTCATTCCTCTGTACCCAGTAAATTCACGCCATATTCCACCCTACAAACCGAAACACAGCCATACAAACACAACTGCTTCACGGTTGAAACACGAATGGGAAAGAGGTACCCAAGCAATCGACTTTTGTACAAAGTCTCCCTCTGGTAGATGATGAAAATAGGTCAGTTAGCCCACTGACGAATTCCACAGAATGAACCACGATGGCTTCCAGGGGGAACCGCGTGGAAGTCGACATGAAAGGATGTATTGCTAGCAATGGCTCAGTTACTAACAATCCATCCCCCCCCCCCCAAATAAATAATAATATAAAAACATAAATAAAGAATGCCAATTTATCAAATAAAGAAGCATTAATAATATTTATAAATGCGAAAGCAGTCGCGGGCAACAACTTAAATTTAGCGGTAATTCTCAAAAACATTGAATTGGTCCGAACAATATCCGATTGTTAAAACTCAAATTTCCAAGTTAGCAATTCGCCTCAGGCTCGATTCGGGCTCGGTATTCAACCAAGTTGAATTAATTCGACCGTTTCACTTAACAGATAGGTACTAATTTACTTCAGTATATACATATTAATTAAAATTAACTCATCTCACTAATATAACAAAATTGTAACCAGACGTTGTCTGTATGTAAATGATATTTATTTAAGAATAATTGAAATTTATATTCCAAAAAAACTTCATAAATGGCGAAACATATACTTTTGATTTAAAAATTAAACTGTATAAATATTATCTTTTAATTTACTAATTTTTTTGTCTATATTTTAATTTCTCACTTAAGTTTGTATATATATATATATATATATATATATATATATATATATATATATATATATATATATATATATGTGTGTATGTATTTTATTCTACTACATTTTAATTGAATTTTCTAATTGCCATTGTATATTTATTTCTCAGGTGCATTAAATAATTAAATTAATATAAAAAGAAATCTTTATTACTAATTTTACTCGCCTCTTTCACCGCTGCAATATCATTGGTTGATTAAATAAATAATCCACGGAAAAATCTCCGTTTTCCAATAAATTTAATCGTCTAATTGCTACCGCCAGGTATCTATAAATTGCGAACGATTTAGTTCGATACTTGAATCGACTCGAAACTTGCCGGCGAATTTATCGTCGGCCATTTTAAATCCAGTTCCAATTATAACTAGCCAATTTATCAAATAAAGAAGCATTAATAATATTTATAAATGCGAAAGCAGTCGCGGGCATTAAATAATTAAATTAATATAAAAACAACTTGTTCTCAATTGGTCGGTTGCAATATAATTTTTTTTTTATATTATTTATATTCTAAATATTATTAGATGTAATATTTTCATAAACTTATTTATTTATAAAAATGTTTATAAAATGTTTACAAACAGTATTGACTTTGAAGTAGAGTGAATTATAATTCAAAAGGAGTTATCGAAATCCATTCCATATGAAAAAAATATGAAAAAAAAATATCTCCGAATATTCGAAGATATTTTTTTTATACAACTTAGAATGGCAAACAAGCTGACGGCCCACCTGATGGAAAGTGGTAATCGTCGCCTATAGACATAAGCAGTACCATGGACATAACAGAGTATACTGTTTCGCCCATGATACCCCCCATGTGTTGCCATTCCTGAGTTATTCCTCTGTACTCTGTAAATTCACGCATTAAATTAAATTATCAAATATATTATACATAGAGTAAAAAGGCTTTTCATGGTTTATTTCTAATTACGAAAGAAAAGATATATCAATATTATTTACCGAATATACCAAGTTCAAAATAAAATAATGGTGCCATTATTTTATTTTGAATATCAGTAATAAGACCGCCTTACTGTACTTATGCAATTGTATCGTTGTGTTTGGAAATTGTTTAGCTTATTTCCTATATTGTATAATTCAAATAAAGTATACTCAAGTATACTTATATATATATATATATATATATATATATATATATATATATATATATATATATATATATATATATATATATATATATATATATATATATAAATATATAATAGTTTTTACATGAGAGTTGCAAATATCCATTCATCTAAATTTACAAACTTTCACATCTACAATATTAATAGGATAATATTTTTATTAATTTAACTTCTCCGAATAAAAATCCTTTTTATTTATTTATTTAAACTTTAATGCACAATGAAACTATGTACATATGGCGGCCTTAACAGCGGACGGTGTTCTCTACCAGTCAACCATTGGGCAAACCGAGAAATTTTCTTTTATGCTTTCAAACTGCGTCGTTTATAAACCGATTTAAAAATTTACTTTTTTACAACAAAGTATATATTTTCGCATTAGTCCCATGGAATTCTCATCAAAATTGGTTCACGGTAGTTATTATGCTTAATTCAATTTCGCGAACGCTTAAAATTGATGGATTTTTTCATGAAATAAAACCTACTTGTTGAATAGTAAATTTTTTTATTCTACCATGCATTGAGTTTCCACTTCATCATCATGATAACAGCTGTTAACTGTCCACTGCTGAACATAAACCTTTCCCATAAGGTGAATTTTACCAGTAGTTGCCACGCTTTAGATTTTTAGTATTGTTTTAAGAGGGACACTACTGCCTATCCCTCCACCATTAACTTCCCTTAGTCGCCTCTTACGATTCCATGGGAATGGAAGGGGTGGTCTATTCTATATCGGGACCACACGGTGGAATTTCCATTTGATCTTTTACAACTGATCCTTTAGACAAGTTGCATCGAAATAAGTTGAAATTACATACATACCTGCAGCGCAAGTTAAAATTTTAATCTGCACACAAACGCCGCAAGCCGGCTGAGTGCAATTCTCAAGAATTTGTATTTATGCGCTTTAATATCTCAAGAATGTACGTGGATTGTTCTATGAAATTACAAATGGGAATTTCCGCGGTATAACATACGTAATAGGAGTTACAAGTAGTTTGCACACTGTGGGCCACAACTTGGTAACTGCCATTTCACAGAATTGCATTGGAATCCTTATTATCCTTAGTAATGGCATAGTTAACTTTTTTTTTTATTATACAACTTAGAATGGCAGACAAGCTGACGGCCCACCTGATGGAAAGTGGTAACCGTCGCCTATAGACATGAGCAGTACCATGGACATAACAGAGTATACTGTTTCGCCCATGATACCCCCCATACGTTGCCATTCCTGAGGACTCAGGAACTTAATAGTGTGATATTTAAAAAAATATAATCCTTTTTCTAAATCTTCATCATTCATCATTTCAGCCGTTAACTGTCCACTGCTGAACATAAGCCTTTCCCATAAGGGAAGTTTGCCAGTTGTTACCACGCTTAGCAGGCAGACTGGGACCGCAATTAGACTTTTAGAGATCTTTTAAGACGACGCTTTTAGAGATGTTTTGAGACGCTTTAGACGAGATTAGGTTCCCTTAGTAGCCTCTTACGACACCCATGGCAAAGGAAAGGGTGGCCTATTCTATGCTGGGACTAAACAGCCATGATTTATTGATTCTAGATTTTACTAGTTTAATAAAATTGTAATATGAGGGTTAATGAGATCAACAGATGCCAATACAATATTTTTTTAAAGTTTTGTTTTTCTGTTTGTATGTTTGTTCCAGTATCACTCAAAAACTATTACACCAAATTTCATTCTGCATTATATTTGGAAACACTAGGCGTCATGTCGTATAGGGAGATAAAGGATATGGCCTGGGATAGAGCTGGCTGGAGGAAGATGCATGGATTGGTTGCACCGACAAGAGGAAACTCTTAAATGAAAATGAATTATATTTGTGTTGCCGAAGGTGTAACTTAAACTCTGGCGTATGTTTCATCTTAAGACGCCATCTCAAAGTAACCTGCTTCATTGGTTTTTCTGTTTCTAAACTAAACGCATTTTTTTTATATATTTATCTTATATATATATATATATATATATATATATATATATATATATATATATATATATATATATATATATATATATATATATATATATATATATATATATATATATATATATATATATATATATATATATATATACACGAGTATATATAGAGCGCACAAGATACTTTTATTCTCATACCCGCGAAAAAAGCCGCAGGCTACAACTAGTAAAAATATTGAAAAATCAAAGCAATCTCAACCCACGAAATACTAAATCTTTTAACTTTATTCCAGTTATCCAGCAATACGGACCCCACGCTATACCGTAGTGCAGGCACTACGGCTGTGGTTCGGGAATCCACGGAATAGGAGCCATTTGCAGGTGAGCACGTTAAAGCATTATTCACACAGATCCGGATCATCCATGACCGAGTTTCATAACTTAGTTGCTAACAATTCACCTTTAAATAGATCAAAAGTGACAGTCACAGTTGAGTTGGGCATTGAATTAATTTAGTTTAGTACACAGAATGTGTAATTTGACTTAGAACTGAAACTGTCAAGTGGACATCCCTAACAGCAAAACCATTGGTCTCAGTCTGCGAGTTACAATTTGACTGATTCTATTACCTTATTAGTAACGAACCATTTGCTACCAGAATGTACATCATCCTAAGAGAAAGATTAATATGTAGATATTTAATGTACACAATTCGTGTTACCAGAGGAAGACTTTGTACAAAAGTCGATTGCTTGGGTACCTCTGTCCCATTCGTGTTTCAACCGTGAAGCAGTTGTGTTTGCATGGCTGTGTTTCGGTTTGAAGAGTGGGATATGGCGTGAATTTACTGGGTACGAAGGAATAACACCTGAGTCCTCAGGAATTGCAACGCATGAGGGGGGTATCATGGGCGAAACAGTATATGTACTTTGTTATGTCCATGGTACTGCTCCCGTCTATAGGCGACGGTTACCAATTTCCATCAGGTGGGCTGTCAGCTTGTTTGCCATTCTAAGTTGTATCAAAAAAATACTCTATTATATTTATGGTACTGTTCATATCTATAGGCAATGGTTACCATTTTCTATCAGGTAGGTCGTTAACTTCTAATTTGCATAAAATAATCATTTTTTTTTGTGACTTACACTGTCAAAACCCTTCCTTGAGCTATGTGAATAGGTCTTTAAACAGGTCAATTCCACACATTTATAGATATAGTCATATACAGCATACAGCGAAGCGGTACCATTTACGCTCCATAAAGAGAATGTACAGTGAACTTTAAAAACGCTGTGTTTCCTTTGAGCAATATTTTAATTAATAATAAAAGTTTGTGTCTCGTTACCTCTTTACCACTATTTCTACCAAGTAATTTGATTATCTTTATTCATACTGCAATAGTTTTATTTATTTACTACCGGCCTGTCCCAACGTCGCACGGGTGGACATTTTTACATTTTAAAAAGTGGCCATTAAGGCTGCACACGCGACGGAAGCTTAAAAATGGAGTAACTTCTCCCGTTTTCCCAACATTTCCCTTCACTGCTCTGCTCCTATTGATTGTAGCGTGATGAAAAAGTATACTATAACCTGCCCAGGAGTATGAAGAATAATTGTACCAAGTTTCGTTAAAATCCGTCATTTAGTTTTTGTTTCTATAACGAACATACAAACAGATAGACAAAAATTTTAATGATTGCATTTTTGTCATCAGTATCGATCACTAATCACCCCCTAATAGTTATTTTAGAAATATATTTCATGTACAGAATTGACCTCTCTACAGATTTACAGTAGGAGCCTTAATGGCCACTTTTTAAAATGTAAAAATGTCCACCCGTGCGAAGCTGGGACGGGCCGATAGTATAATAATAATAATAATATATAAATCATTATTTGCATAAAACATGGTATAGAATTATGTTTTAATTATCTTTAATAGTGTACATGTCTTGTTAAAGTCATATAGCGTGAAAATTCAATCGTTCTTACTATCTACCACGGTTCCTATTTATAACAGAAGGAGACTTTGTACAAAAGTCATTTGCTTGGGCACCTTTGTCCCATTCGTATTTCTACCGTGAAGCAATTATGTTTACATGGCTATATTTCGGTTTGAAGGGTGGGATATGACTGTAAATTTACAGGATACAGAGGAATAACACCTGAGTCTTTAGGAATGGCAACGTATGGAGGGGTGTCATGAGCGAAACTGTATACTCTGTTTTGTCCATGGTACTCATGTCCATAGGCGACGGTTACCACTTGCCATCACATGGGCCGTCAGCTTGTTTACTGTTCTAAGTTGCATAAAAAAAAATGCAAAGGGACACATGATCCAAAGCTGAAAATATGTGTAGACGACTTTTCAAGTATCAAGTTTCCCAATAAAGAATAAAGAAAGAAAGAATAACCATTCTTTATTAAGTTTACAAAAAAATGTAAGTGTCATTATTTTTTCATAATCATTTTGAACTTATTTTTTTTTTATAGAACTATGGTAGTAAACAAGCATACGGCACGTTTGAGGTAAACGGGGTTACGGTAGCCAATAGACGCCTAATTACGACTATATAAGATTCACATCGGGTATATTTCATTATTTTCTTCATTTATACTACCTAATCTTGATGGTATTATAATGTACAATTGTACACCAACAATACCGGATCTATGACTAATTTAGTTAATACAATTTTATTGCTCAAGTGCGGTGTGATTTGTATAATGAGTTTTTAAAAATTTTCCTAAACCACAAAACACAAAATAAAAAAAAACAGCATATTCAATAGTCTATTAAAAATGGTGAGTTATAACTTTACTTTGCAATTCAATTCAATTCAATCATTTATTGCTATTTCATGTTGTAACAATATAGGTCTTAAGTTATTAAAAGTAAAGAATCAATACGAACCCTGGAAGGGCACAGCAATCACATTAATAAATATTTCATAAAGTATATAACAAAATTTTTATATATATATATATATATATATATATATATATATATATATATATATATATATATATATATATATATATATATATATATATATATATGTATCGTCGATTAACATAAAATAAATAAAACATTATTACATTATTTTGTAATAAGAATGCTTATTATCAATAACAGTGAACAGTTAATGGCTGAATAGTCTGTATATTTATTTGTGATTAGTCTTTGTTATGTACATGGTACTGCTCATGTCTATAGGCGACGGTTACCACTTTCCATCAGGTGGGACGTCAGCTTGTTTGCCATTCTAAGTAGTATAAAAAAAAAAAAAGTGATGAAATTATTAACTGCAAATTGTTAGAAAAATATTATTAAAATATAGAAAAAAAAACTTATTCTGTTAAATCTGCAATTTACAGCATTTTATTTTTTATTTCAGCCCTTAACTGTCTACTGTTGAACATAATCCTTCCCCATTAGGGAAGTTTTGCCAGTAGTGGCCTCGCTTAGCAGACGAATTGGCAACCACAGTTAGGCTTTTACAGATGTTTTAAGAGGGACGCTTCTGCCCATCCCTCCAATTTACAGCATATAAGACTAATATTATTTTTGAAAATATAATTATTTTTTTTTTTAAGTTATCACTTCGTTTAACTCTAATACAAGTTATATAGTAGTAATATTAGTATTAAACGAAGCGACGTCTCTTACGACATATCTACTATGGATACCAATTGTCACATATATTCTCTCTGTCACTTCACAATTTTACGAAAATCCCACCAAATCTCACAAAATCTCACTTATAAAGACGAGAGTCAATGAAAAACTCATTTCTATTATTTCTTCTCCTTTTATTTCACTGAAATATATGAATATAATGAAATATGTTTATTTATACATTAGATTAAATATTTCTCCATACAAATGTTTAATTAAAAACAGCTGAACTTTTTTATCTATAAGTGTGTATGTATACCATAATGTAAGTTTACTACATAATATATGGAAGAAATTATATCGTAAGGTTAAATTATAAATAAAACCTAAACAAAATTCTACGAATATATTTGAAAGAACAAGTAAAACTGTGCATAAACGGGGAAGGTGGATAATATATTAAATAATATTATAAATCATTGAAAATTACCACCATTTTAATTAATATATGTATTTTAATTTGTAAGTTATATGAACATATTACATATAGTTATGTATATAATGCCAGAAGAAATAGTTCCGAATTTAAATTTAAATAATCAATTTATTTGGGAAATGTATAATCTAATTACTTGCAACACGAAAATATGGCGCGTTTTGTTTTAATAAAAAAAAAAATGTGTTAAATTGAATCAGCCAAATGTTAATTTAGCTCATTAAATCTCAACACGTTTTTATACTTATAAGTCTCCTTACCAATTCTAACCAAGAGTAGGGAGGATCTAGACTTTAGAAATCCCCTCATATTTTTAATGGATGAAAATGGAATGGCAATCCCGCCTATACTATAAGGATACGCTGGCGAGGCACCAGTGAAAGATAATAGGTGAGGATGAAGCAGGTCAGTTGGCCCATTGTGATAAATTCATTAAAAATTAACCACAATGATTTCGAGGGGGAATCGCGCGGAGATCGACCTGTAAGGTATACTGCTAGTAATTGGTCATTGGATCTCACTACTAACAATCCTTGTTCCCCCACCCCTTCATATTAGGGTGTCTCTCCATTTATCACCAAAGCAGGCAGTCTAAATTTTAATATACACCCTATGCATACTGAACATTCCCTAACCGGAAAAAAAAGGTTTTACCCATCTAAATAAAGAAGAAATTTAAAACAAAAACATCATACGTAATTAATTAATTATCGTCCTAATGACTTCACAAAATACACATTTTGTCACGCATATCATGCAGATGAGGTCATCAGCTACAGCTACTGTTGTTATAATTGATTTTCAATAAAATATCGGGGCAGCAAAATCATTGTCGGTTGATTTACGGCTTCTGAACAAAACTCTCATTAGCATACACAGTGTTCGAGCTATTATTTCCACATTTAAATAATTCCAAATTCAACACGACAGTAGGCAGTTTTAACACAGATTAAATATAAATTATAAAATGTATTCTGGCGCTAAAAATTATAACGATTCGAATTTGGAACGATTTCAGAATGACGTGACTCTTTTTAATGGTGGCCAGCGTATATAAATAAAGTCGGTGGAGTTAACATTCCATAAAAAAGGGGGTTCGACCCCCCAAAACTTTTGAGAACCACTGGTCTAGACAGAGTTATTTTGCGGACGTTTTTTATAAACTGTTTCCTTGTCAGTTATTAAATAAATATCTCAATATGCGTCAGCCCTTCTCCACGGACCATTTGCGATGGTCCGACAGCCCACCGATCCGTCTTCACGTTT